CACCTCTACCACTATCGGGTAGTTGATGTTCCTAGCGAGCACGATGTCCAATACATCCGGACGACTTCGTGGATCCGTCGGAACATGAGTGGGTTCTTCGGGACCTAAAACGTCGTAGCCGTATCTTTCGGCATCTTCAAAAAGTGCGTGACCCGGCGGGTTGATCAGTCTAGATCCCCACGCCAGGTGTTTGGCGTTTAGGTCCCCGGCGATGATGGTCGGTGTTTCGCCTTCCATTACCGTCCGGACGTCTGAGGAGCAAAATGGAGTCCCTGGCGGGCGGTATGCTGCGAAGATCCTAAGTTCCTCGCCCGCCGCCTCCATTTTTATGCCGATAGAGCGCATAGTCTGGTATTCCGGTAGGTCTAGTTCTTGATGGACGATGTCCCTTCTCACTAGGACCGCTGTCCCTCTGTAGGCGGCCCCTTGAGAAGTGACCTCGTCCCTCCTATACAGATGGTAGTTAGGCAGCTTTATGCGTGTGCTCGGATTAAGTTTCGTCTCTCCCAGCAAGATGACCTGTACGTCTTGTTGTTGGGCGACGGTGCGGAGTTCTTGCAGCTTCTGCTGGATTCCACCTGGGTTCCAGTAGAGGAGGCGCAGGTTAGATTCCTCCATAGTGCCGAGCCAGGAGGTTCGCCAGCGCCTTCATGACTGCTGTGATAGGGTCGGTCCCGGCTCTGATGTCTGCCAGGACCTGGCTGCCGACTTCGATTGCAATGCCTACCAAACGTTGGATGGCATCAGCAGTCTCGAAGCCGGCTGTTGGTGTTCTGCGTGTCTGTGCAGGAGTTGGCGCTGGTCTCGGGAGTTGGATTGATGCTCTTTGCGTATGCGTAGAGCGCGCTCTATGTGTAGAGCGGGCTCTATTTTCTGATAGAGCCCTTTCTGGCACTCTACCCATTCTGGTTTTCTTGACCTCCTTGGTAACCTGCGCCTGGGCTAGCGTTACCGCTGGGGTTGGGGTAGAGGTTGCTGCCTGAGGAGGAGGCTGCACCTTCTTCTTCTTCTTCCTCCCCCGCTTACTCCACTGGGTGGTTTGGCGCTCTGTGGCGTCATTAGCGGGGGGCTGAAGAGTCGCCCCGGTGGTTGCCTTTGATATGGTGGTGGTGGGCACCACCGTTTCTGTGGGTGCCGTGACGGGTGGTGGGGGGGGCAGGTTGCCTTCCCCTTCCACTGACTGTCGAATTGCAAGAAAACTCGTTTACTGAGCTACCCCAGAGCTATACGCGAAAGTGAGCCGCGCCATTTGTGCGCTTGCGCAACTCAATTACATCAATTTGTACTATCACTCTCTCACGGTTTACTCAATAACTTTATTTGTATAAGACATACATTTATACAATTTACTTATAAAGATAGCACAAAAAATATCTATACTACGACATACATTACATTTTTATATCACAAAAAACCTTTTATTTATTTAACAAAATATGCTTATTTTACTCACATGTTCAAAGTTGAAATTTCTTAAATATTTAACATTTCTTAAATATCATCTCGACCGGGGAACAAAACCTGGTCTCTAACTTTATTTTACCCCATGGCTCTGACAGCGCGCGACATGTTATACTCCCGTTCGCTCGGGACCTTAATGGCGGGAAAATTTGTAAGTTAGAAAATTTTTTACTATATTGCAAATTTTGCTATATTTTCACTTTGAGACAATATTTATGGATAAAACTTACAGGATTTCTTGTTAAATGTATAAACTATCGAATAAAATTATTTTTGGTTGCTAGAAATTGTAATAAAATACATAAATTACCCTGTATAGCATAGTAGTAGTATATACTTCAATTTTAGTGACAAAATTACTACTAATTTGAATTCTACACTTTTGTTTTTGGAGAAATTTATATGAAAATGTTTGGAAATATGTATATTTTTATGTTTTATATGTTTCCATTCGTTACTCATACCAAAATATTAAAAAATTAAAAAAAAACAATAATAATATTTTATCTGTGTGACATTTAGAACAATATTTCAAAAATAATTATGTGTGAATTTGAAATAAATACAACGTCAAGTTATTTGAAATATGTAAGAAAACTATTTTTACTTACATTTTACACTAAAAATAAATGAGAATTTGAAAAATAACACATTTATGACCCAACCGCCAAAATGGGCCTTCCAGATTTTGAAGTACTTTTGGCAATTTACTTTTCACTTTTTATACCACAAATTATATATCTACGTGTTCACTATATTACAAGGAATATAAAAAAGTATAATACTTTCGTTTTTAGTCCAGACACAAATATAAAATTCTATAAAAAAGACGGAGCACCTTCATCAAAACGACACGTGGAACGCCGAAAGTTCAGAGCATAGATAAATAAATATGTAGCAAGCTAGTTCAGAGTGATTTCTTTTTTTTTTTTCTAAGAAACATTGCCAGGTTATGGTTTAAAATAAGAGCATATCTTTGTCTTTGATACTATTATCTATTGCATATTGTCTTTGGTTTTGTTTTAAAGGAAAAAATAGTTTTTTCATGAGGCAGTACTTCTGATCCGACCTGATCTAATTCGACCCGTACCAGAGCCGACGTAAGGTAGGTATTGTATGATCTGATTAGATCCGTAGCCGAGTGAACGAGTAATTAACATTATTGGAAAGATGATTTCAACCGGGGAACAAATCCGGTAACATAATTTATATCTTAAAAATTCCCTATATGAATTTATTAAGAGATATTACTAAGAAAACGATAAACTACTCCGGCCTGGGAGTCGAACCCAAGACTTTCATATCATTAATTCGATATTTCTTTAAGATTCAACTAAGCATTTTCTTATCGGAATATTGTTGCTTAATAATTTGCCTTTTAGAAGCCATTCGTAATCGGGTAACTAATAAATTGAAATATTCTTATAGGCGCGTCGCCAACAACTACTAATGGAGTAACAATTCTCTGTGGGTGTAGAGTAAATTTAGGGAAATACCACGAAGAGCTTGTGATCTCCATTGAATAGAAACGTAGCGATGTCTATGGTTAGTATTATATTACGTGGTAGAGCCATGCTGCATTTATATTAATTGTATAGTTGTAGCACGCATGAGTCGGCTCTACCGGGGAAGGACCAGGCTCTCATAGAATAAATACCAGCGTCAAATAGCAGCTTAATGCTGCTGTGTTTCGTATTCACCATACGGAGTAGAGAACCGGAGATCATTTTTACTGGAAAAGTGGCATTCCATCTTGGTCTTCAAGGCTGACAACACATCATTTTGATTCGCTAACGAGGCTAAATGTAGATGTCTATGGGCCACAGCAACCACTTACCATCAGGTGGACTGTGTGCTCGCTTGTCACCCTTTTCCTACATAAAAAAATATAATATTCAAAAAAGCTATGTAGAGGAGCAATAAAAGAACTATTAAAATTATTAAACTTTATTTAACGTATTACATTTCATTAAATTGCATAACGCAGGTAGTCAATTGATCTAAACAACTTTAATTCATAAACCCAACACAGTGGTCAACTTAACAAATAAAAGTAATATTCACATTCTTGAGAAGCCTTTTTATTTCTTTAACAACATTACAACGCAATGGTTATTTTATGCTACAATATTGGTATTTTCATCTGTCAACTTTGCAGCAAATTGTTGACTGTGCTTCTATTATATTCCTAACAATAAGAATGGCAGTAACCTAATACTAGTTAGTTCCTACGTTTGGCCAAGCAATGGTTGTTATTTCCACTGGCAGCAGTCACATTCTGATTGTAATCTTAAAATATCCCGTACGACCTGTACTTATGTATTGATTATTTGAAATCATAGAATACTATAATACATACACAATAGAACGGTGGAGTGGGCGGAGCCCGTGTCGCCACTAACATGTCAATTCACACCTTTAAATGTCAACACAATCAATCGTTTTCAATTTTCGTGTCAAGCATCTCTGCATGCGAATTATTTAAAAAATGGAAAATTGTGTAATAATTACGTGTCATAAGAACAGCGGAAAATGGAATTTCTCCCAGCGACACCGATCCTCGTACAAGATAAGGATGACAGCCATTCTATTGTGTATTCTATATTTGAAATATTTGTTTCTCATACTTTCACCTCTACTCATGACAATTGTAATTATAAATAAATAAATAATAATATATCGCCCCACAGTAGCAGCTTAAGATACACTACCATATATCGTTCCGTGGGTATTGAAGAGATGACAGAGGAAAATTGAAATATATAGGCAGCAGCGTCATCCTGATAACAAGTGAGACTAATGAAAACTGTGGCTGTGAACCCGCCTGCCTGTCGTGGCATCGTCGTTATCATGATCAATTTGAAACAGGAAATGGGCAGCACCATATTCCTAATAACAACGGAAAATAATAAAAAAATTAAGTTGCAAATGATTTGAATTTCGATTTCAATATTTCTTCAAAATTGCTGTTCTTATTGTATAGGTGCGAAAATTTATCTTCAAATTAAAAGTTATTATTGTGGGAAAGATTTAATACTACGGAAGTGAGATATATATCTATGCCGTAGGCAACTTCATTCACCTACTCCACCCAATTTTTTTCAGATACTAAAATGCAATATAGGATTATATTTTAAATAAATTATAATGATTTAAATAATCATCATACCAATGCATCAAATATCATGTATCATGTAATGTGATAAAGTGTAAATGTACATTTACAAGGCAAAAGAAAAAACAGCAGCGTTATTTTACTCTAGTGGAAATAATTCTTGGTGGGTGTCACTTTGCAACTATGTTGTGTTACACTCAACACTTTAGATTGATATAAAAGGACACAGTACACCCACTGAATGTCAAAACGCAGCTAACCATGAATTCCATCAAGACCACATAAATGCTGAAAGTTCTAATACTGGATAATCCTATCAGATTATTTTAAATTAATGCACAAATATCTTTAACTTCTGGCCTGAGAGCATAAAATTGTTTGCTTTTAGTTTTGTCACTGGATATTATTAGAATTAAATTTAATTCTACTTATAATTTTTTAGTCTTAGCTTCTTTTTAAAGAAAGGATTTATTGGAGATGGCATAGATGGCTTCAGATTTGTTTTAGAGGGCTGTTTGCTACTGTCAAACGGAATATTAGGGCTCTGTTTAACGCTCTTGTAATAGTCTATCGGCGCTTGGGCACCATTATTTTTTAGTACAAACTTCACCTTCTTCGGAGTATCCAATGACAATTTAGGCTTAGTAATTGTATTAGGTTTTTTGGTTGAAGCATTATTTTTATGATTTTTTATTTTGCTAACAACTAAGGTACTCGTTTTTATATTTTTCGCCGACGGTTTCACCTTTTTTGCTTTTGATTCAAGATTTTCTTTTTCTTTAGTATTTGTTACTTTTTCATTATTGTCATTATTTATCAGCGCATCTTTCTTTTTGGGTGGAGTTGGTGTTTTATTACTATCTTTGCTCTTGTCTTTTTTGTTTGCTACATTCTTTTTTGCAACTTTTTTATTATTTATTTTACTATTTTCCTTTTTCTTAGCAGTAACATTTACCGCGCTAATTCCTTGTCGTGTTCTAGGTTCTTGAATATGTTGATTTTTCTCAATTTTTGCTTTTTTCGTTTTATGGACACTATTTGTATTTTCTACAAGTTTCCGTTTTTTATTTGGCTTCTTTTTATTTGTACCTTGGTTTTCCTTGTTGGAAGTGTCCCCTTTAATTTTCTTTTGCTTGTTGTCAGTTGTCGCTTCTTCTATATGCCAATCTTCATTCTGAAGTTGAAAAATAATATTTCAAATATTTGCTATAACACTAATAAACCACAACTACTTACTAATAAAACATGGTAAAATAGTTATTCGAAAGACAATTACTTTACATAATATAAAGTTAGAAAGTTACAGCCTAATTACGTGCCAAGAGTCCTTAGTCCGTTAAGCAATTTCAGTGCGTATTGTCGGACTTCACATCATCATCATCATCATTACAGCCCTTCACAAGTCCACTGCTGAACATAGGCCTCCCCCAAGTAATGCCACAAAGCACGGTCCTGAGCCACCTGCATCCATCGACTTCCTGCATGTCTTACCAGGTCGTCACTCCATCTAGTGGGGGGTCGCCCTACACTACGCCTACCTGTACGAGTCTGCCACTCGAGAACCTTTCTTCCCCATCGGTTATCGGTTCTTCGAGCTATATGGCCGGCCCATTGCCACTTCAGCTTGCTAATCCATTGGGCTATATCGGTCACTCTATTTTTACTGCAGATATCCTCATTTCTGAGTCTATCACGCAGAGAAACTCCGAGCATAGCCCTCTCCATAGCTCGCTGAGCGACCTTGAGCGTCCTCATACGGGCAGCAGTGAAGGACCACGTCTCAGATCCGTAAGTCATCACTGGCAACACGCACTGGTTGTACACTTCAGTTTTCAGAGATTGAGGTATACCTGACGAGAAGATGTGTCGTAATTTCCCGAACGCTGCCCAGCCGAGTTGAATCCGTCGATTGACCTCTCGGTCGTGGACTTACCTAGTCGGACTATTTGTCCCAGGTAAACGTACTCGTCAACAACTTCGAGCATAGTGCTCTCAACAACTACCGGCATAGGTGTGACATGGACATTGAACATGATCTTTGTTTTGTCCATGTTCATCTTAAGACCTATCCGTTGGGAGACACCATTGAGGTCATTGAGCATAGTGCTAAGGTCCTCCAGCGATTCTGCCATAAGGACTATATCGTCGGCAAATCGAAGGTGAGTGATGTACTCGCCATTGATGTTAATACCGTATCCTTTCCGGTCCAGTAGCTTGAAAACATCTTCCAATGCAGCGGTGAAGAGTTTCGGGGAAATAACGTCACCCTGTCTTACACCTCTCTGCAGTTGGATAGGTTTCGTACTCTGGTTCTGTACTCGGATAGCCATCGTAGCCCTACTGTACAAACATTTCAGCACTTCAATATACTGACAGTCAACTTGGCACCGCTGAAGGGACTGTAGCACCACCCAAAATTTCGACGGAATCAAAGGCTTTCTCATAGTCCGCATACGCCAGGCAAAGTGGCAGATTGTACTCTTCGGTCTTCTGTACAATCTGCCGCAGGGTATGTATGTGGTCTATGGTACTGAAGCCTTTTCGGAAACCGGTATGTTCGGGAAGCTGGAATTCGTCGAGTCTGCAAGACGACTCTCGTAATGACTCTCGAAAACAGCACGTAGACGCGGCTCAGAAGGGAAATCGGTCTGTAGTTCTTCAAGAGAGCGTTGTCGCCTTTCTTAAAAAACAAGACCACCGCACTTCTGCTCCACGCCTCTGGAGTAGTGCCACCATGGAGGACGGAATTGAAGAGCTTCTGAAGGACTTCAAGTACCGGTGTTCCACCCGCTTTCAGAAGCTCCGCTGTAATTCCATCCTCGCCTGGGGCCCTGCCGTTTTTAAGGTGCTGAAGAGCCATTCTAATCTCGCTTAGACTGACGTCCGAGATATCATCGGAATAGTGTCGGATAAGACTTGCTCTTGGATCGTTAACCAACTCCAACGATAATGTGTACAGCTGCCCATAGAACCTCTCAATCTCACTCAAAATCTCAGGTGTCCCGGAAACGATGCTGCCACACTCAGTCTTCAGCCTTGACAGTTGGCTCTTACGGGCAGACAGATCTCTGGCAAAGACTTTGGAGCCCTGGTTCCGCTCGATCGCTTCTTTAATACGAGCAGTATTAAAGTTGCGTAAGTCTCGCCGCATGCATTTGGAGATCTGTCTGTTCAGCTGCCTGTATGCTGTCAAATCTGTTGAAGATTGCAGCCTCATCTCCCGTCTAACAGCTATGATTGGAGAGTTTTTGTGTTCTTCTGCGGCGGGTCTTGCATATCCACGATATATTTCCTTTTGTCCTCGGACATGCAGGTTTCTTTAGGATGCTCAAAGCCGAGCACGTAATAAATCTACACCCAACATTTCAATTAACAATTTCATTGTTAAATAAAACGTGAAAATCACTCGGTGTGTTGTGACATTTATTGCGAGCCCTTAGCTTCGAATTATCGTAGCCTTAACACAGCTTAATATTGTGTAGTCTAATAAAGTTTTATAAAGGAATAATTTTAATACAAGATAAAAATAGTATTCTTACAACGGTTTCCGCCGGCACTTCTGCAGTCGGCTTGACGACATCTTCCACAATGCTGAGACCGGCGCGGCTTTTTGCTAAAAGACGTTTACGGTGTTTCCTATTCAGACCTGGGGAAAATGTAATGAAAAATGCTTAACCGAATATCATGTGTAGATAGAAACCATTGCCCCATATCGCGACAGTGTCGTTAGAGCCGAAAAAGGAAAAAGAGACAGGAGACAAAAATAAATAAAAAATAACATGACCATCTTTCTGATAACAGTTTAAAATAATAAAAATGTGTGGTGTCTAAACTAACTGTCTGCTAAGCAAAGCGCAATAACTACGACAAATATGGCAGAATATATATATAATGCAAGGCTTTTTAATGAATGATTTTATAATTAAATAAAAAACGAATGAAGATCGAATCAAATATCAATAATTGTGAAATAATATTGGGTGTGTTCTGAAATAGCACCCAATATTATTTCACAAATAATATTGGGTGCTATTTATTTTATTTTATAATGCAAATGACGTCATAAATCGACGCCATACTGGTGATTCGTTTCAAAACATTGGCCAGTATATGACATCATACATTTGCGCCATATTATAAAAGTGTTGGCGATTATTTTATGTCATTTTGTGCTCCCAAAGTTATTATATCCTCTTTCAACTAATTCGTTAAGAATGGAGATACTAGCAATAATTCTATAATTTTTTGTATTTGAATAAATACAAACAAATTCTAGCATGCCTCATTCAGCGTACACACAATTAAAAATTGTTTTAATATGGCGGGATATCCGACACAATATGTCGGCGGCACGCCAGTACAATATATATAATATATAATTAATGACGTCATTTGCATTCGCCACTATACTGGGAACATTTCGGAACACAGCCATTATATACATACACATTCTTAGGAAAAATAAGTAGAATATTTTTTTTTGTTATTTTTATTCACTACAAACATTTTTTTATTATGTGCGAGCAGCTATACAGGTCTAGGGAAAGAGACCAGTATCACTGCGACCTAAAAGATCTATTGTGATCGCTGCTATGGCTATAGTTCACTGCTAAGCCCTGTGTCTTTAATGAATACAAACATTTAACCATTTTTATTAATATACAGGATGTCTTCTCAGAAATCGATGTCAATCCGTAAACTGTAGGCCACATCATGATAGTTATCAGAAAAATAAAATACAAAATTTAAGTTATGTATTTTTTAAAACAATAGGCATTTTAAAAAATCGCAAAAATCTACAGGTTGTGATAGTCCTTTAACTTCCATAGTCTGTGAACACATGTAGTCAGATAACATATAATATGCGTTAACGAGCCATCAAATTTATTAGCATATCAGTATGAAAGACATACAATCCAGATAACCGTAGTCAATGAGGACTAACAGATCTTCCGCTCACCGGATGTCGCTAGTCGGAGACGAGATAAAGTCATTTGTTACACAATGTTCTCATAATTGAGAATTTTCGTTTAGATAAATGTATTGGTTTCTAGAGTATGTAAATACACAAAACAATGCCTCATTTTTTTGTGTATTTATTTCAGAAAATATAATATTGAATTAATAATATTGAATTACGTAATATTTCAGAAAGAATCATTAACCTTTACATTTTCCTAACAAATTAACTTCCCCTGCCATGAAATAAGAAAGGCAGGCCGAAAAAGAACTAGTGACTGAAAAGGGTCATTGATGAATATATCGTTTCTGGTTATTTATTTGGTGTCCCACTAACCAACAAAATCACAACAAAAACATCTATGTTCACTTATAAAAGCAAAAAATTATAAGAAATATTTTCAAACCTCTCAATGCCAGTTCATCAGAAGAGTTAACAAGTCGTTTTTCTAGTGCCCTTAGCCGCCGTGCGGCCTGCTCGGGCTGTGGCATCAGTTCACCGGACTCTGCTAAGAAGTCCGTGTCCTTAACACGTAATGGGTAGACATTCTTGCTGAGTTGTTCAAAACTGTCGGTTATAACAAACAGCATAGTTAATCAGGTATGGTGGCTAGGAATGAAATTTAGGTTTATATTTGTTTGATAAATTGGTTTACTCGGAAACGCGTGTCCGTTTATCCACCACGTCTGGGGCGGATAAACGATGTAGATGCACCCCCCGTGGACTGTATGCTAGTTTGTCACCCTATCCTATAAAAAAAAGAACAAAAACCTTTTAAATTAATTTTTTTTTGTTACGTGGTCGAGCCATACTGCAGCTATATTGTGGTTGCAGCACGAATGGATCGGCTCGATCGTGGAAGGACGCCACAGACGCTTTCACAGAATACTAGCGTAAAATAGCTGTGTTTCGTATGGTGAGTGTTAACTATTAACTCTGCCTGCAACAAGAAGCACGGGCAACTAACTTTGTCAATGCTTTTTGTTGCTGCCGGTCCCAAGCCCGGAAAAGAGGAGGGAACGGTTCCGCCGGAGAGAGTGGGTGTATCCGGTGGACTAACACACCCACCTGCGCTAGGACCTGCGCAGTTGAGCGCCGTATGCGGGGATGAGGAGTCCTGCAGGGTTGAGCCGATCGTCACTGGGGTATTATTGTCGAGAAGCAACACGCCCTCTTTGGTCCGGATTTCAAGCTAAACAGTGGCCTTATCTGCTAGCCACAGATAAGCAAATGGCCAAGCGTCCCGGCAGAGGGTCGCAGGCGAGGGATGTGGGGGCTGCCTAGTCTTCCTGAAAAGGGCTAGGTGGTGGTAAAGGCCATGCTGACGGGGCAAGCGAAAGTCAACTCGGGCAGTGGGCCTTTTCAGCCCTATCTGCCAGCTGGATCGAGCTCCCGATGTCGCGCTGTGACCCAACTCTGCGTCCCTATATTACCCCGGTAATCCTAACACCATAAATTCTTTTAATAATAAAGAAGGGCGTTTCCAAAGGTGCGGGCTCCATGGAGGGTGGGAAGCCGTGGGGACGAATTATAACACATGTCAAAAACTATGGACAACACAAGGCCCATTAGTAGAGAGGGAGAAGTGTCAGAGGTGTTTACCTTAGACACTGATAAACCATAAGGAACCGCCGTTAAACCGGCCGTTCCACTGACTGTAGCACCCAGCGTCGGTGGCCCACCAAGGGGGCAAATTTCCGCGCTGGATGTCTCTAAATCCAGTTCCAAATCCAAGGAGCTGGACGAGAAAAATGAGCAAGGGGCCGCGAGTAGCAAAACTCCTGCGGAACCCCAAAGGACCGTCGACCTTTTCTCCGCTGCCTGGCAAGTGGTGAGCCGTAAGGGGAAGCGCAAGGCACCCAAAATGGTGACTTGCCGACCAGACGCACCATCACATGGGGCTATCCCAGCAGGCAGTAGCGCAAAGGTCAAAAAGAAGAATAAGAAGCAGAGAGAAAAAGGCCGCAGAGAAAGAGCCGCGCTTGCTGCTTCCAAGAGCAAGACTCAGGGAGCTGGGCAAGCTACTGCTACTGCGGTGCTTGGGGCTGGAACCAGTAGTCGTGCTGAAACTGGGAAGGATGAAAATCCAGCCCGAGCAGTAGGCACGGCCGCCGGAACCAGCTCTAAGAAATCCGCCAGGAACCAGAGAGCAGCCAAGCGTCCTGGAAAGAAGGAATGAGCAGCCAAAAGATTGCTGGAGGAGTCCACCTCGCCGAGAGGAGAGCACAAAAAAGTGCGACTTGAACAGCAACCAAAGGCTGCAAGAACAAGCTACGCTTCTGCTGCTAAAGCAGATTTGGGTGTGGCCTTAAAGTGTGCGCGTTCAGGTCACATAACAAAGGAGGTAGCTGATGACATCCTCGTGGCCATACAGAAGAAGATGATCAGCGAGGCCTGGAGTAACCAGGACTCTGATGCGTCGGGCCCGGTTTTTAGAGGCAAACCCGTTTACACGAAGGGTGTCCTAAAGCTGTGGTGCGATGACCAGAAGGCTCTGGACTGGTTGAAGGGGAATATTAATACCCTCGACCTCAAATCCAACACCTCGCTGACTATTAAGAAACAGTCAGAGATACCACAAAGAATGAAATGAAGAACCGCTGGGTAAACATTAAGGACTGGCTACTACGCAAAGCGGACAAACAGACGGACAGGTGGTTCCTCGTTGTTTCGGTGCCGGAGGATCATATCCCGACCCTGATGAAAGCCAGGCGTCGTCTTGTATGTGTACATACACACATGGGGCGGTATACGTTAAATTACAGGGTTTTGGAGGAAAATTCGTTGATTCCCCACCTAGCAAAGAGGCAGAAAAGAACCCGGAAGTCATGGCCTTTACATCTCACTGATGTCAAGTCCAGTGAAAAAAACTGCCCGCACAACCGAGCCGAAGCCCCCAGTGGAAACTGAGCTCAGCGGCAGCTCACTGAGCGACGAAGAGGACTGCATTTTGCCGTCCAATTCCGACTCGGTGGCTGACGATGAGCCCGAGATCTGCTGGCAGGCTTATTTTTAGGCGGGGACGGGGATGACGCGATCGATGATGGCGTGCCCTTCGTCCAAAACTAGCCTAGTGCAGGCCAACCTCCACCACAGTGAGACAGCGTCGGCTTAATTACGCAAGTGGTTAGAGGCACAAAGGACGGCCGTAGCCCTAATCCAAGAGCCATGGGTTGGGGCCGGTAAAATTAAAGGCCTAAACAACCTAAGAGGTAAGTTATTCTACAACTCTGAGCCCGACAATCCTAGAGCGTGTATTTATACTACTAAAGATATCTGTGCAAAACCATTAACAGATTTCTGTTTCAGAGACATGTATGCCGTAGCATTACAAAACACACAGGAGGAAAGGTTAGTCGTCGCCTCGGTCTACATGCCTGAGGAAGACACTCCTCACCCTCACGACCTCGTCAGGCTGGCGAATTTCTGTGAGAGGGCCGGACTAGAGGTTGTGATCGGGACGGACTCCAACGCGCATCATCCCCTTTGGGGAATGGAAAAACCTAATGAATGAGGAAGGTTTTAGTTGAATATTTATAACCTAACCTAACCTAACCTAACCTTTTTAAACACTGGTTCTAAAGCAACCTTCATAAATAAACGCTGTCGCACAATAATCGACCTCACACTTGCAACAGAAGGAGCAGCTAAGCTAATAATGGGATGGCATGTGTCGAAAGAGGCCTCATGCTCAGGCCACAGATGGATCTGCTGCGTACTATAGGTCGATATCCCCGCTATACCACCATGGAGAAATCCCCGCAAGACGGATAAAACAAAATACCTCAATAGGCTGACGTCTTCGCTCGCGGGTGTTGGGGGAACTAATACCATAGCAGATCAATCGCTCCTAGAAGAACAGATAGAAGCTGTCACTAAAGCCATGATCGATAGCTACCATGAATCATGTCCAGTAATCACTCCACCAAAACATTCTGAGCAAAAGCAACAGTGGTGGGGTAAAGAACTAGACAGGAAACGTAAGAAGGTAAGAAAAGTCCTAAATAGGGCAATGAATACCTCAAAGAATGAAGACTGGCTTCTATATAAAAAAGCTAAGTCTGAATACAAAAAATGTATCAGGTATCGACACTCAACAGGGTGGCGCAAATTCTGTGGTAGCATAGAAACCTGTGAACAAGCAAATCGGATAAGGAAAATCCTAGCTAAACAGAACACGCCGGGATCTATCTCTTTAAAGAAACCCGACGGAAGCTACTCAACATCGCCGGATGAAACCCAACGCATCCTAATTGATACTCACTTCCCAGGTTGCTGTGTAGTTGAAAGGGTGAACCGGCATGAAGATGCACTGACACCAACAAAAGAAGACTGGGAATTAGCACAAAGAGTGGTGACGATGGACAAAATCCATTGGGCCATTCATAGTTTCCAACCCTATAAGGCAGCAGGACCTGACGGCTTATTCCCGGCACTTCTACAGTGGAGGGGTAAAGTCCTAATAGTCAGACTTGTTGCCATAATGAGAGCATGTCTGGCTCTTAAATATGTTCCTAGGGGATGGAGGGAAGTGAAAGTCACGTTCATACCCAAACCAGGTAAGAACGACTATACAGACCCTAAATCCTACAGACCTATTAGCCTCACACACTTTCTCCTAAAGACGATGGAGAGGATGTGTGAACGGGAGTTGAGAGAGTCGGCGCTAATTAACTTACCGCTACACGAAAAACAACACGCCTATAGCTTAGGTAAATCAACAGAATCGGCACTTCACCAGGTAATAACAAAGATTGAAGAGGCCATCCAAAACAAAGCTATATGTCTAGGCTCCTTCATAGACATAGAAGGTGCTTTTGACAGAACAAATTTCTCCAGCATAAAAGGTGCCCTAAGTAGACATAATATTGAACCGGCACTGATTGACTGGATAGTAAACATGCTCAGTACACGAACAATAAGATTGCTGGTGAATCTCAGACAATACAGATCATGAAAGGATGCCTGCAGGGTGGGGTTCTTTCACCTCTCCTGTGGAATATGGTCATTAATGAACTCATCAGCAAATTAAACGCTAACCATTTCTACACAGTCGGTTATGCAGATGATCTGACAATACTGGTCTCTGGTAAGACAGCAAGCATTGTGTGCGACCTGACCCAAGCGGCTCTCCGTATTGTGGAGAGATGGTGCAGGGAATATGACCTAACCGTTAATCCAAATAAAACGGTTATAGTAATGTTCACACAAAAACGAATGCTGAATAACTATCATCTTCCAAGTCTTTTCAGCACAAAACTCCAACTTTCTTCCGAGGTAAAATACCTAGGTCTTACCTTGGACAGTAAACTTAACTGGAACAAACACATAGAAAACAAAATCAGCAAAGCTAGTTTAACTTTCTGGCAATGCAGAAACATGATTGGCAAACGATGGGGTTTAACGCCAAAAATTATACTGTAGCTGTACAAAACTGTAATTCGGCCCATGATCACATACGGCTCTCTGGTATAGTGGACCAAAACCAATGAAGCCACCACTATACGAAAGCTTCAGCGTTACCAGAGATTAGCTTGTATGGCTGCCACGGGCTGCATAAGGACTATACCAACAGCAGCTTTAGAGGCTGTGTTGGAGCTAACACCGCTTCATCTACATATACAACAAGAAGCAACTTTAGCTGCCATTAGACTTAAGACCCTAAATCTTTTAAGTAAGAGTAAAGTCCCCCATACAGATATAATTGATAGAATTTACTCAAAAATTCCTATCTTACAAGCCAAGTACGATAGGATCCCAAAACAATTTGTATTCGATAAGAAGTACAGGATAATAACTGAAGGAAACTGACCATCTGGAAGGATTGGGTCCAAGAGAGCTCAAAGTTTTCATGGATGGCTCTAAGACAAATGAAGGTGTGGGGTCTGGGGCTTTCTCTGAAGACCTTAATATCCACCTATGCACACCGCTGGGTACCCACAACACAGTCTTCCAGGCTGAATGCATGGGTATCATCCAAGCGGCCATAGCAATAGATGCTAGGAAGGTGAAAGACTTCTCCATCAGAATACTGACCGACAGTATGGCGGTACTACAAGCTCTGAGTTGCAATGTGACGAACTCGAGACTGACACACGAGTGTCATCAACGATTGAATGAGGTATGTAAGCACAACAATGTGACTCTGCAATGGATCAAGGGACACAGTGGATCTAGAGGCAACGATGCAGCAGATAAACTGGCCGAGAAGGATCGGCCCTAGCAACTATAGGGCCGGAACCAATAATACCAATCCCCTTTGGCTACATTCATTCACTGGTACGTAGATACTTCAATAATTTTTTTTTTTTTTTTTTTTTTTATAGAAGAGGGGGCAAACGAGCATGTGGCTCACCTGATGTTAAGTGACTACCGCCGCCCATGATCAACCGCAACACCAGGGGAATTGCAGGTGCGTTGCCGGCCCTTTAGAAAGGAGTAAGCTCTTTTCTTGAAGGTCCCCAGGTCGTATCGGTCCGGAAAAATCGCTGGTGGTAAATTATTCCACAGAGAGTTTGTACGCGGAAGAAAACTCCTTTTGAAACGTACAGTGGTGGACCGCCAAGCATCCAGATGGTGTGGATGGTATCGGGACGTTTGCCGCGTAGTGCGTTCACGAAATTTGGCGGCTGGGATTAATCCGAACAATTCCTCAGAGCACTCTCCATGGTATATGCGAATTTACACGCTCAGCTTTGGAAAAATTTTGTAGACTGTAGAAAAGCTAGGGAGGCCCTACCTGAAATAAACAGTCGTCAAACCAAGGTTCTAATGAGACTGAACAAGCCACAGATCAGGATAGTAACAAGTGCTATCACAGGACATAGCTCTTTTAACAAACATTTGTTCACCATAGGTGTTACTGACAGCCCCCTGTGCAGGGCATGCATGGGAGAGGAAGAAACGGCGGCTCACGTGTTGCTGACATGTCCAGAAGTGGCTTCATACAGGGCTAAACATCTCGGCACGCCGGGTTCTCTCCCCGAAGTTGCTTGCAACATCAAGGGACTGCTGAGCTTCTTTGGGGAGATATCATGGCTCGAATAAGCATATTATTCCTGCCCACACGCAAAATACGCGCTTAGACGTGGAGTTGCGAAAAACAGCCCGTCGAAAACTAAACTAATGGTGACTGTAGAGAACTGGAGACCCTTTTTACTGGAAACGAGGCATTCCATCTCAGCCCTCAGGGCTGGCAACGCATCAAAATTATTCGTAATCGAAGATAAATGTAGATGTCTATGGGCCACAGCAACCACTTACCATCAGGTGGACTTTGTGCTCGTTTGTCACCCTTATTCCATAAAAAAAATTACTGTATCAATTGCATACCCTTAGTAAAGGTTAACATAGTCCGAGACCTTGGTTTAATGCTGGATTTGAAATTATATTTAGACTACCATATCGATCACATAAGCAATACAGCCTTTCAACAGTATTGTTTCATGAGATCCTCTAAAGATTTTAAACAATCATTTACTTTCTTAATTCTATACAAAACACTTATTTGTTCACAATTGGAATATGCTGATCTGGAGTCCCTTCTACAAAAAATATAATTATAAATTGGAAATGCTCCAAAAGAAATTTTTATCCATTATAATTGTTACCACCATTCCAGAATTCCATACGTACAATTATTAAAACACTATGCAACACTACAAGTTTGAAATATAGACGCTCGTTTATTACGGCCATGATGCTGCATGGGTTGTGCAATAACAGGTTTAACTGTAGTTACATCACAAATAACTTATATTGTACCGAGAACTGTAATTCAGCACTAAATGCTGAAGCGCGGGCACCCCTCCGGCGCCTCTTAGATAATTATAACACACACACACTTCACAGAATGTGATATTTTTGCTGTCATCTATTAAGTTTAAAGGAATGATAACTAAGTTGCTGACTATAACGATTTATAAATATTGTAACAATTAGCATAATATCCCACACTCTTATAAATTGTGCAATTGTATAAAACATAAGGCTAACTATATAGTATTACTTTTTGGACATTGGTGTGGGTTACATGTTAAGTACTCCTGTTATAAATTAACTGTCTTGTATTACATTAATGTGTAACTGTTTTATGTCCTAATAAAATAAAAAATAAAAACAAAAACTACATAAGTAGATACCATGCATAATGTACTGCAATAAAACTTTATTGCTGTTGGGTTATTTCACAGCATCCTAGCAAATTCATCTTTGAGTTTTAATGTAGATAGAGTTAAAGTTAATAAGGTTCAATGGAATTGCCATGTTTTTATACAACAAAAGTTCCAAAATGTATAAAGGAAAAAATACTACACAGATAGTAATAAAATATAAGATACACATACCGTTCGAGACAGATCTTGGCCCGTTTGTAAGCTCTCGAAGCACAAGAAGTGCTTTCCATGAGCTGACGCATGTCTTCCGCCAACAGGGCGGCTGGCACTGGCAGTAATGGCAACACTACGTCCACTCGACCCGCTCGAGGGTCTAATGCTGTAACACTAAAGCAATACTTTTGCTTTAAATATTGACAGTAATCAAGATAATTAGAAAGTTTTAATTTCTTATATTTACGTGAACACTACACAACTATAGGGTCCGCCATCTAACTTTTTTTTTCAACTAGTGCTTATTTCGTGAATGGCAACACTTAGCTCATGTCTAATTTGACAGATAATTAGTTTTATCCTTCCGCTGAACGAATATGGTTGTGTATACGCTTGAACAACGCTGGGAAATATTGCGACATTACTTTGAAAATCATGGTAATGTTGCAGAATGTGTGCGAAAATTGCGTACGGATTTTGGAAGAAATGAAGCACCGTCAGCTCCGTATGTTCGTTACCTTGTGAAAAAAGTGAAAGAAACTGGCATCCTCATCGATAAACCAACACGTGAAAAGCCAAAAACAGTGCGTACACCCGAGAATATTGCTGCTGTGGCCGAAAGTGTGCGTGAAACGCCATCAACATCAGTTCACCGTCGTTCTCAACAATTGGACATTTCGGAGACATCATTGAGACGAATTTTGCGTAAAGACCTTGGTATGACGCCGTACAAAATCCAATTGGTTCAGGAGTTAAAGCCAACTGACCATCCAATGCGTTTTCGCTTCGCTAAGTGGGCCTGCGATCGACTTGCAGAAGATGCGGATTTTGCCAAAAAAATCATCTTTTCAGATGAAGCTCATTTCGAACTTGGCGGGTATGTAAACAAGCAGAATTGTCGCATTTGGGGCACAGAAAACCCGCACGTATTCATCGAAAAGCCGGTGCACCCAAAACGAGTCACTGTTTGGTGCGGATTTTGGTCCAGAGGCATAATTGGGCCATTTTTCTTCGAAAATGAGCAAGGCCGTTACAGTCAATGGCGATCGTTATCGGGCCATGTTGAACGAATTTTTGTTCACAGAAATTGAAGAGGAGGATATTGGCAACATTTGGTTTCAACAGGACGGCGCAACGTGCCACACAGCCGACGCTACACTTGATGTTTTGCGCCCTGTTTTTGAAAATCGCATTATCAGCCGCAGAGCTGATGTCGTTTCACCACCTCGGAGCTGCGATTTGACACCGTTGGACTATTATTTGTGGGGTGCCGTCAAAGATAAGTGTTACGCCGACAAGCCAGAGACAATTGACGCTTTAAAGGACAATATTCGTGAAGCCATTGGTGAAATACAGCTGCACACAATCGATAATGTACTCAAAAATTGGACCGATCGTGTAGGCTACTGCATGGCCAGCCGAGGCAGCCATTTGAATGAAATTATTTTCCATCATTAACCGGAAGGATTGTACTTTCAAATAAAAAAGAAATTTGAAAAAATATTTTGTAGTTTTTTTTAATAGCATTTTTAAAAAAAAAGTTATTTGGCGGACCGGCTATATAATAAAATAAAACTAAATATACGGATTTTATCGCGTTTAATTAACTTACTTTTATTTTTATTTCCCGACGTTTCGGGTACTTTATAGCAGCCATGGTCATGAGAGGGACTGAAATTATTAAAGTCCCAATGTCGTAGTAAGTCCAACTACCTTCAGTTTTTGAATATGATTTTTTGGTCCAATCTATGCAGAATGCGCTTACAGTATCTAAAAGTCTTGCAGTGGTATGCTTGGATTTGGAATAAACTTTGTTAATTACTGGATCCCAAGTTGATGGCAACACCCATCCATATTTGAAATTAGGATTTTTGTTAATGTTAATAGCCTCACATATCATTCTTGGTAGGAAACCTAACTTTATCTTTTTTATCTGTGAATAAATGGATTAATCAACTTTATCAACTTACGTTTCAGAATCGCCATCTTCAATTTCATTTTGGTCGTCACCTTCCTCAATTTCTAATTCCAACGCCTCTGGACCTCCAGGTGGGCAGCCCATCTGGGAAAATCACATTTTGTAATTTGCTACACTTACCCGTAATGTCCTTTCTATTTATGTATCATATTAATATAATGCGATGCAATAAATAATTGTATCAACTAATATCTAGATTTTGGACGCAAGCTTTATACTTCATACAAAAACAAGATCGACGCGGCGTTGGTCTATCTACGTTTTATTTGTAACAACAGAACAGATTTTGTTCCAAGTTTCCACATTGGGTATTTTGATTCATTCGCGAATCTTAAATATTTAATTAGTACTGGAAAATATTCAACTGGAGTAAGTAACTATATAAAAAAAAAACATAATTTCGAAAATAATAATATAAATAATTATAATTATCTGTTGTCGGTGACTTTGGTGGTTAACAGATATGGGTAGGAAACAACAGTTCAATAGATAAGGAATCCACAACCCTTTAATTTTATTGTTTATTAAAACTCAGTATTATAAGGCCAAACATGTTGGTAATTATTTAAGTACCTACGTAATGAATAAGTTTTAATTTTTTTATATTAATTGTAAATTCACTTACTTATGGAATGTTATTCCACTTTCCTTTTGATTACGAATTTTACATATTACGCACACTCGTTCTTATTAAAAATATTTGTTTTTATAGGAGAGCCGTGGTAGCTCAGATGGTTAGCGCTCTCTGTAAATTTCACAGTACGCGAGAAAACCGGGTTCTATCCCCGCCGGCATCAATGAAATTGTTAATTGCAATTTTAAGTGCTGATTTACCACGTGTTCAGCGGCGAAGAAAAAAATCGTGAGGAAACCTGCATGTCTTAAGAAATAAGAAAAAAATATTTAGAAGAAATGTGAAGTTTGCCAACATGCATTGGGGCAGCGCGACAGACAATTCCTTGCCCTAAAACCCTCTCAGAAATAAGCGACGGCCTGTGCAAATCTTTAGGCTGTAACTTATATAGGATAGGGTGACAAACGAGCACACAGTCCACCTGATAGTAAGTGATAAGATGAGAGATAGAATGCCTCGTTTCCAGTAAAATGGGGCTCCGGTTCTCTACACTCACCATACGAAAAACAACAGCGTTGATCTGCTATTTTACGCTGGTATTCTGTGAGAGCGTGGTTTTACCCCAGTCGAGCCGACCCTTTCGTGCTAAACTGTACTGCTAATATAACTGCAGCATGGCTCTACCATGTATAAGTAACTAAAATCAAATACAATCAAACCACATTAAAAGTTCATATAATAGAGATGATTTAAATAACACAACAAACTTTGGCATGTTGTGTCAATTTTAGTTCCCGGTACGAAAAATGGCGGCACTTCAAATCGGCACAGACATTTTGAATGATATAGCCATAGCCAGACCAGCGTACTTACCTATATAGAGGTCAGTGATTTCCATTGATTGTCCTATTTTATTTTATTTCTTACCATCAAAATTGTATTGTTTATTTCCTCAACGTAAGATATTAAAATTTCGCAATTGATATAATGATTTGTTCAAGTAATAGGCAAAATAAAAAATTCATTGGCTTAGATATTATGTCACACACACACACACACACATCTTTTTTATTGTGAGATAAAAATATTTCTGCCTGTACCTCTGGGCTTTAAAATTAGAAGACATCTTAAAATTTAGTACTTTGGATTCATTGCAACAATTTTCAAGTGGGAATCATTGAGTTATTATGTACTACGTACTAGAGGCGACACTGCATTCAGCTACTCTGTTCCACTTAACTGCGGTGCATGCACCGCACTTTCATCAGTCACTCACTAGGCGCTTGTAGAGATGTCACGTGTTGTGTTGATTTAAAAAAATCTCTTGATAAAAATATGTCGTCGTGTGTACTTAGATATTGCACAAATAATTCAAGAAATGTCAGTAAAATCCAAGGAATTACTTTTCATCGGTTAATAAGATACTTAATCAATAAAAAAGTATTAAAGATTAATATTATAACAAATTATTCTTAAGACGCCATCTCGTGTCATGGAATATAGATTATGAAATTAATATGTTCAGATGCGACATTTCTGTGGGTACTTAAGTATAGGACGAATATATTATTATACACATTTTTTTGTAGAAACATGTAGGTATAAGTTATTATAATTGGGCTAAATATTTCATATTTAAATCTGCTTATTATTCTTTTATTTTATTTTTAGGTTTCCACATCGAAGTGAAAGTGGAATAAATTCGTTAATTTTTAACTTTCGCGTGCCTAGCATTTATGAACGACTCGTTTTCTAATTTAAATAAATATATTTGTAATTTAAATGTTATGTTAGTAAGTTTTGTTATCATACATTTAGTACATTTTTTATATTTGACATAGATACCTTTTAAAATATTCAGATAAAAATATCATTAAAATGTAATTGTGATATAATATTACGTAATATTATATTCAATAAGCAAATATAATATACAAAATAAATGACAATATTAACAATACACTCTACTATTATCTACGGATCATTCTACCTATGTTTATTCTATGATAAAAAAACAACCGCGCGAACACAGAGTAGCGCACATTTTTTGTTTGAGATAGCTGTTCTAGTACGTAAGTACATATTACTTCAATGGTGGGAATTTTACCCTTTTGCTGCCGTGTCAGTCACTTTGTATGGAGTACATAAGTGTATGTAAGTGTTAATAAACAAAATACTGACCCTCTGCCAAGCGCGCTCAGCGTCGGAATACTGCAATCCAAGTTCACTTTGACGCAATAACGCGGTGAGGAGCCTACGTGCAGCTACACATAGGGTTAAGGCTTCGCCCCCGCATACCAGAGCGCAGAACGGATGCAAAAGACAGACTATACTCTCATCAGGGATTTTACCTTGAGATACCTGCAGATAGACCAATCATCATTGTAGCAAATACTCATACACTGCAGCTTCTGCTAGTTCATTGTGATTTCAATGTTACAAAACAAATTCGTATTAAAAAACATTCTAAAATCAAAGATGAATGATCGAATGACAGTGCTACCATCTGCTTGTTATCCCATAATCAATAAAATTAAATCCAAACCCAAGCATACTCTTGCAAGACTTCAAGATACTGTAAGCTTGTTCTGCATGGATTGAACCAAAATAAATATTTAATAGTTGATGAATGTCTAATTTTATTTTATTTTCTACTAGAAGAATGTTTCGGGGATATAATGGCAGGCCAATAATAACAAAAGTACTAAACAAAATAATTTTACCTTAGCTAACTCTTCAAGGAAACAGTCAATGAAATGAAGTATCAAGGACATCGCGTTGCGAGCGTATGATGGTGTTTTGAGTGCCAATATGCCTGTAAATTAAACATCCTACTAAACACTTATGCAATTGAACTGTCAAACAAAACAAAACTTTCATTTTCTAAAACACGCAGGATCTTATGTGCACTTTATTAACGCAATGAAAATCAAATATCAGATTCAAATATCCTTTTTCGACTAAACCACGTTTTTAACTCCACTCTTTGGTTTAGTTTATCTTAATCTGAGACAGATGCTTTCATATTATATTGTAAAGTAGCAAAAATACTAAATCTTCGGTTAGTTGTCTGAATTTTAAATTGTTCAATTGATTCATAACGAAGTCAAGTATCACCATACTCTTACCATCACTTGCTGTCAACATTTTAGTGTAAATTTTGCAGCTCTCCAGGCTCCAGTTGCAGCGTAACAGACACCGCAAGCCGCCGCGTAAGTAGCGGCGCACCAACTGAAAATGTCAAAAGATGGTTTATCTACACAGTCCACCTGATGGTAAGTGGTTGCTGTGGCCCATAGACATCTACACCTATCTTAGATTACAAATCAAAATGCAGATGCGTTGTCACCCGTAAGGACTAAGATGGAATACCTCGTTTCTAGTAAAGGTCTCCGGTTCTCTATACTCACCATACGAAATACAGCAGTATTAAGCTACTATTCCACGCTGATATTCTGTGAGAGCGTGGTCCTTCCCCGGTCGAGCCGACCCATTTGTGCTACAACTATACTACTAATATAACTAATGGCTCTACCACGCAAAAAATTGACATTTATATAAAATTGAAATGACTGCCTGTAATATTAAAATAAATGTCTTCTATTAAGCTCAGGGGGTTATTTACTTGCTATGAGGACTTCAATAAGCATTTTGAAACGTTTTGTCTGTCTGTGTTTCTGTCTGTCAGCGTTAATCTTCGGAATGGCTGTACAGATTGTGATGAACTTACAAACAGAAAAAGAGCAATATCAGGAGAGATCTAGGCTACATTTAATCTGAAAAATTAGATTTTTTTGTTAACCTTCATCTAAGTACCGCATTAAAAGATCCAGGCCTGGGCAAAGCCGGGGTAGACCGCAAATAATTAATGTAGTAGTAGTAGTAGTAATTGTGTAAGAATATTTACTATCCCATTTTTTCCCGTGTGTGTAAGTTCTGTTTTCTACCAAAAATTATTTTACTGTTTGAAGTCTGAATCATGCAAGAGTTGTGACCACAAATATTGACAACAAAAAATTATAGGATATTTTTAGCTATTATCATGTTTTTTAAATGTTCTTATGCATGGTATGTCACTGGTATGGCTTTACTATCAAACGTAAAGTTCATAATTCACCCATTTAAATACAGGTTAATCTTTGAGCCTGAAAATCTTACCATCATAAACTTATCCATCCTATGTTGATCAATTCCATACCATTCTGTGGCTAAGACTTTGAGCCCAGCTTTGGTCATAAGAACAGCATTCTTGATCTGTTCCAGGGGAAATATGTCCAAAATCCCTGCTATGTTTTCACATAATTCTTCCTGTAAAATTAATTATTACATATTTGATGCGTAATATAAATTATTTAAATTTTTTTATAATATAAGGGTGAAAAACGGGCACACAGTCCACCACATTGATGACATTTGATAAGTAGGTGCTGTGGCCCAGTTTTCAAATTTAAAATATTTTATTTAACAATAAACTTTATTTACATTCAATTTTTATATATTTATTTAGTTATTTGCTCACAACACAACAACCTACCAGTATACATATTATGAAGTGGATGTTACACAACATCCATGTTATACTTATATTTTAAGACCTCTGCTGGGAGACACTATTGAGGTCATTGAGCATAGTTCAACGGATCAGTAAGCTAAAGTGGCGATGGGTATACCATATAGCCTGAAGAATCGAAAACTGATAGTAAAGGAAGGTTCTTGAGTGGCAGCCTCTTCCCAGTAAGCAAAGTGTAGGAATTGATTGGATTGAATGATGACTGGTAAGAGATACAGGAAATTGATATGACAGGTGGCTCGGGACCAAGCTTTGTGGCATTCCTTAGGGGAGACATATGTTCAACAGTAGATTTGTGATAGGCTGCAAAAACGATGATGATTTACACAATTGTTAAAAGCTAGCCAGCATATTAAAAAAAATGTTTAATATTTATATCAATAATAATTTCTGAGAGCTCAGCTTCTTCAGCACTAGCAGCTTGTTCACAAAGAGGCAGGGACTATTTTTCGCCCTAGCAGTGCATCTAGTTTACCACCCTCTTATTAATTTTTTCCCCATTTTTCTGTAGAATTAATTGTTTGAAGTTAGCTGCAGATTTCCATGGACCACATTAGCCACTTAACCATCATAACTGTAAATTCATTTGTTACATCAGTTTTATACAAAAATACATTAGCTGTGACTGAAATTCATGTCCTCGTCATGTTTTGTAGGCAGATTGACTATCTTGGTACCAGATGTGTCACACCTCTAATGCTGCTGCTCTGTTGCCAATTTGAGAATTTAAGTCTGGTGTAAACACAATGGTAATACTGATATCTATCAAAATCCGTAAAATTTCCATCACCCAGCAAGAATACCATTAATTATAATCATTGTACAAATACCTGTATCAAAGGTTTGTCAGACATCCACATAGCATAAAACAAGCCTTTCCAAACACGGGTAAAGTCGTCTTCCTTAAATTCTGAAATACAAATTAGTTTAGTAAGCACCAAAGAGAGTTCAGAGTTATATTTATGATACTTAATATAGTAAATGTGACAAAATCTTCCAAAAATACAAACACCATTCAGTTTTCAATGAGATGATTTCTACTTAAGTTACTATTAAAAAAGTGAAAAACCTGCAGTAAAAGCAAATTAAAGAAATATGAAAACATAACACAAAATACATTAACATATGTTAAGAAAAGCAATAATTACTTAATAAAATTGAAGTACATAACAATAAAACATGTTATAAGACTGACAGTGTGCCATAATTTAGAAATTTGATGAATTTCATCAAATGTTATGGATTTTTAATTCACTGCCAATTATCAATTTATAATTATCCTTACCAACTATAACAAATAAACATAAACCAGCTCAGAAAAAGATAAAGGAACACAACAAAACAATGTGGCAAAATCATTATCAAATATAAGGATAAACATTTTTACTCAATGAAGGCAGATTGCCTTATGTTTGAGCACAAAAAATTATATATAAATAGAAATATGAATCTCTGTTCATATTCACATTTATCATGAAATGGATAAAATATAACTATTGTTTAAAAAAAAAAACATTAAATGTCTAACTCATTTTTTCCACACCAGAAGTTTTTTTCTAAGCAGTGATAAATAAAAATTTCATGATGAGCATTTAAGGCATTACTCCTAGTGACCTTGAGCGTTCAGTCCTATACATTTAAATACACCCAAATTTTAAAATATTATCTTTATAAAATCGAATTTTAGTCCTTTGAAAAAATTAAATAGATCAAATGTTCATTAATAAATTGCCTATCCATTAGTGTCAATCGCAAAACAAAATAATGCTTACTTTATGAGCATTACTTAATAAGCATTAAGTATTGGTATTTGACTTGTAATTAATCGTACCTTACCTTAGGTTGTTATGAGACTCAAGAGGCATAATGCAACCAGTTTAGTGAGACATTGATTTTCAAATTAGCAATATTTTTGTTGTTTGATATTTTTCTAATACTTTACTATTAAGCTGTCCCAATATGCTAAGTGATAGTATGATATGTACAGTGCCACTTATAATGAAATAAAGTGAAAGAGCATTTTATACAGGTAACTTAAGGTAGCTTTATCATCAAGCACATGCTAGCTTTGTTTTGTATCTCCTCCTAAAATAAGTTTTCCACTCAGTTTCAGTGCAATAGAGCTTATAAAAATCCATCAGTTTAATGTTACTTATATTTAGTGAACCAATTATAAGCTCTTTAACCAGTTACTGAAACACACAAAACATTTGGGCACTATAATCCTGTTCTGTGCCAATGCCAGTCTCTGTTGAGACAGTTGTGACCCAAATTCGGTCTGCCATAAGGCAATCTAAGGGAGAAGCTTATGTTCTGCAGTTGACTTTTGATAGACTATAATGTATACCATGTAAAACAAAAAAAACAACTTCAATATAAATAAAATAAGAACATCATCAATGTATTCAAAGTCAATTAAATATGCATTATTAAGGATAACATAAACACTACTGGTAAGATCTTAATAAAATTTAAATGGGATCACATGAGAAGCACCTGCTTTCAAATAAAAAAGAACCATCAAAATCAATTTCCCCTAGAAAGAAGTTCAGAGGCAACACACATAAAAAAAGAATAAAAAATACATTTGAATTGAGAACCTAATGCTTTTTTGAATGCGGTTGAAAAAATTAAGTAAAATTAAAGAATATGTCAACATAAGTTTCTGAGTTATGTTACAAAATGACATAAAACACTGAAATATTTTAATGCCACGGCATTATTATGTTAGATTCTATACATAGATTCAATATCAATCAATACATTATTTATTGTACACTAATACACACTAAAAAGGAACAAAATTAAATATATTTATGGGAAGTACAACAGGTAGTGTTATCTCTCAGAAAGCACTTTATTCCAGACAACCTTTTTGTGCAAAGAACTGTCTTTTAAAACAAATTACGAATAAGGAAGGTAAAAGAGAAAAAACAGAAAAATACAACAGTTGAGAATAAGTAGGATATATGTATACAATTAAGGATAGGAATTATTATGGGAAATATTAGAGCTCCAAGTAATAAGCTTTGAGAAAATTTTGGAAGGAAAAAAGTGCCTCCGCTCGTTGAATATATAAAGCAGAGGAGTTCCAACTGTAACCGAGAATGATTTATTGAAGAAGGAGGATGAATGTGCTGGAATACAAAGTGAAAGTTTGTGAAACATAGATGACAATTGTGAGAGGAGCAGATGAATCCAAAGCGGTCTTGCAGGTAGCATGGAGAGGTGGGATTGAATAGTTTGCAGTATTGAGCAGAAAGGATGTGAGTATTCCTGTGAAGGGAAATCGGCAGCCACTTGAGACATTTATGAAATTCTGAAATGTGATTATATTTACGGAGTCCAAATATGAATTGTAAACATACATTTTGAATCAAATTTAATTAACTGCGTTTTGGTAATGTCCATAAGACAAAAATCAACACAGTGAAGAATAGGTAGAAGTAGAGAAAATGTCTAAGTCTCCGCAGAAAATTTAGAGCTGCAAACATTTTCCTACTTACTTCATTAACTTGTGATGACCATGTAAGACCAGAACCAATATATATTTTTAAATTCTTAACTTAATCACTAAAAAGGATGTGAAGTTAAACCTAGAAACTAATCTAGAACTAACAATAATTATTGCTCGTTTTGTGAGATTAATTGATAATCCATAAGATTTACAACAGTCCAAAATACAAGTCAGATCAGTATTCGTTTTATCAAAAGTGTAAATTTGGAGATTGTCAGCGTACAAGTGGCAAGAAGACAGTTATGAATACATTTAGAGGTTATGAGTATTCAACGCACATGTTAAATATTTGGTATGAAAAATAGACAAAATAATGTCATACCATATCCTTTCTCAAAACAATTTAAGAGCCACTTTTTCAAAGCTTTTAATACACGATCGCGCGTTTTTTTCTCATTGCCAGAAAGTAATCTCGCAAATTTAAATTCTTGGGCTACTACAACTACATGTTCTTTCTTATTCTTTAATATAGGTTTCTTCTTTACTTTTTGTTTCTTTTCTTTCTTCTTGTTATCTGGTTTCATTTTGCAGTAATTTATAACTCTATTTTGTAATAAACAAGCACGTATTATTTTTCAAAATACAATGTACATTGTACAATGACACTGACATTCAGCCATAGAGTAGTGGTGTAATATATAGGGTATGTTCCGAAATACAACGCAGTGTACTGTCCAATGCAAATGACGTATCATTTGACACTTTATTGTACTAGCGTGCCGCCGCCATATTGTGTCGGATATCCGGCCATAATAAAACAATTTTTAATTGTGTGTTTGCCGAATGAAGCATGCCAGAATTTGTTTCTATTTATTCAAATACAAAAAATTATAAAATAATTGATGGTATATCCATTAGGTGGATATAATGATTTTTGGAGCACAAAATGACAAAATAATCGCCAACACTTTTCCAAATGGCGCAAAAGTATGACGTCATATACTGTCCAAGAAAAAAAAAAATTTTAAAAAAAAACCCCCTTAATGTTTTGGATCGAATCACCAGTATAGCGACGATTCATGACGTCATTTGCATTGGACAGTACACTGCGTTGTATTTCGGAACATACCCATACAGAAACATTCAGCGTTCAACTTTAACAATTATGCATGAGACCGATATATCAAATCATAACTAATAACGTTATGGTACCAAAATACCATATCATATCGATAAACCTGGTACATAGTGTATTATCTTTGCCAACTACCTAACTAACGTACGAAAACGAAACTGAAACGCATAACGCAAACTGTGGAATGATCTGCCAAAACGGAAATCGGCCCACGAACTAACCAATGTTGGTTCGTGCGCCATTTTCTTTCTTTGATATTCGTTCGTTCTTGCAATGAAACCAAAAATAAGTATAGAAAGAGATATATGTGAATATGGATTTCTATGCGATGTTTTGGTAGTTATCACGCAACTTGCACATCGCGAAATAAAGTAATAAGGTCGAATTTTAAATGGTTCCAATTGCCCAAATTTAGTGTAGTTGTGAGAGTTATCAAATTTCAAATGATCTTTAAGTAGGTTATTAGATACAAGACTTAGATTTGTATGACCATATTTTATTTTATTTATGTTTTAGATAGAAAGTTTTGAATTATATATTTTTTTCAAAACGCAACAATTATGTACCTGAATATGGTGGCGCGTGCCGTTTTCTTAGATATTATCAATAAATTATTAATTTTTGACGTTGCGTTCGTGGATCTATTTGCAATATTTTTATGCATTTTGTACATCAGTTTGAATTCAGACAGTTACGTTTACAACGACAATAATATAGTAAAGTATAGTTTAAATTAGACTCTCTAAATAATTTTTGTAAAAAAAACTTACAAAATGTCACGTAAGGCTAGTGAAATATGGTCTCACTTTAATAAAAAAGAAAATTTAGTGTAAATATTACGTTTGTAAATATTATCAACAAACGTTGTCCTGTAAATCTACTACTGGGATCTTTAGTTCTAACTCAACAAAATTTTCTGCTAATCCTAAACCAAGTTAAGCATGAAGAATAATCGCCAACTGTAATAATCGTTAGTAATTAAACTACCTTTAATAAGCTAATTCGTAAAAAAAATGTTTACACTGGCTTTACAGTTTTTTTTTTTTGCGGATGGAAAATCATCTAATGACCCCTTTCGCTCTGGGTGGAGCGTAAGGGAGTGTCAGACTTTTACTGACTAAAAACCATCCGTGTTCCTTCAGTGCCCTTACGTTCCGGAGCCGCGGTATCTGTTTCAAACAGCCCGCAGCCCCGGCAGGCGTCGGCCCTTGCGGGCCCCTTCACGCTGCTGACAGCTCTTTGAGGCGCGCGTGGAACAAAACGCGCCGTCGACACGGCCTGTCGTCATTAGACGGACGGACGACGAGCTACCCACTGCTCGCCGTCCACAGGCCCGCGCCTACGGTGGCCGGGGGCCACGACGTAGCCCCCGACGCCCGGGGCGTCTCCCGCGGCGGCCGGGGAGGAATGCTGCTGCTCTCTCCTTCTCCCGCTCCGCCACCTCCTTCGCCAGCATCACTGCTTCGCAGAAGGTGGTGACGGCATCCCATTCCGTCTCGCTCCGGACCATGGCTTCGACCAGGGCCGGACGCGAGAGGTCGCTGCCGCCTATCGCCGCTACGAGGACCCGGCGGTGCTCCGCCCAAGCAGGGCACACCTCCACGGTGTGTTCCACCGTGTCCTTCGGTCCATCCTCGCAATGGGAGCACCCGGGCGTTTCCTCCCGCCCGATTCGGTGCAGGAACCTCCCAAACACACCGTGTCCGGTGAGGACCTGCGTCAGGCGGAAGGTGAGGATGCCGTGGCGTCTCTCAAGCCACTCCTCAAAGAGGGGTCTTATCGCCGCTATAGTGGCGTGCCCAGCACGGGGTTGCGACAGTCGCTGTCTCCATGTCGCCATGAGATCGTGCCAGAAGTCTGTCCGCTGCGCGACAACTTGCCGCGGCAGCGGGGTTTCCCCACGGCATAGTGCCTCTGCACGCCATTCGTGCAGGCGCGCGAGGACTATCGCCTCCAGATCCCATGGCAGCAATCCGGCAAGGAGGCTCGCCGCCTCGCGGGAGATCGTGCGGTAGCCGCGAACCATTTTCACGGCTATCACCCTTTGGGGCGCGTTCAGGTGGTGGACGGCAAGCCGCGCCAAACCACGCACCCACACCGGGGCCCCGTAAAGGGCCATGGATCGCACGATCCCCGCGTAGAGCCTCCGGCAGGAGGCGTTTGGCCCTCCCAGGTTCGGCAGGAGCCGCCTGAAGGCAGCCCCGGTCCGTTCCAGTTTGGGAGCCAAACGTCGGAAGTGCTCAACGAAGTTCCATCGGCCGTCGAGGACGAGGTCTAGGTACTTCAGCGTCGACTCGACGTCGATGGATACCCCTCCTACCATCACTGAGGATCCCGGTGGTGGCCTGTTCCGAGGACCATGGAAGTGCATGGCCTCGGACTTGTGCAGAGCCACCTCGAGACCCAGTTGCCGAATCCTCTCAACGACTATCGCAACCCCGCGTGTCATATTTTCCGCCGCCGCCTCGTACGACCCCCCCTTGTGCCAGTACCAGCGTGTCGTCAGCGTAGCAAACTACGCCGACGCCGGTAGGGAGGTCGGCGCGCAGCACCCAGTCGTAACCGATGTTCCACAGAGGTGGCCCCAGAACCGACCCCTGTGGGACACCGCACGACATCTCTCGCCGGTTCCACTCACCGTTGCGACCGGGGTAGATGACGGCCCTGTCTGTCAGGTAGTCCCCGACTATACGACGGAGATAGGTCGGCACCCGGTGATACCGGAGTGCCTCCCTAATGCAGCTCCAGGGCATGGAGTTGAAGGCGTTGGCGATGTCGAGAGACACCGCCAAGACAACCCCCCTCTGGCCACTGCATCCCCCGTCGTGAGGGCTCTCACGCGCATGATGGCGTCCACCGTAGAGCGCCTCTTGCGGAAACCAAACTGGTGTTCCGCAAGATCCGGCCTCGTCCCCGCAAGGTGCTCGGCGAGGCGGTTTGCAATGACTCTTTCAAAGAGCCCACCTCGTGGAGCAGCACCACGGGCCGGTATGCGGACGGAGAGTCCGCAGGGCGCCCCGGCTTCCGAATGAGGACTAGCTTCCCCGTCTTCCAACGAAGCGGGAATTGGCCTCTCTCCAAGCATGCGCTTAGGAGCCCCTCCAGTCGGGGCCCGAGAGCCTCCGAGGCCAGGACCCAGGCTTTGCCAGGCAAGCCATCGGGTCCTGGGGCGGTATTCCTGGCCTTGAGCCTACGTACCGCCACTCTCAGGTCTACCCCCGTCCCTTCCGGAATGTCGTCGTCGTCGTCCTGGTGGTCCGCTTCCGGCACAGCAGGTGGCGGAGCCATAGGCGAGGGCGGATGTTCCCGTCGCGCAGGGAACAGAGCGCTCACCACGTTCTCCACGAGCTGGGGCCGGAGACTTTGCGTCAGCGGGGGGGCCCAGGTGCGGAGTTTATCCCGCACCATCTTGTAAGGGTGCCCCCCACGGATCTCTGTTGAGAGTCTCCAGCATCTCCTCACGGGCCCGATCCCGGGCCCGCAGGACAGCCTCCCGGAGGGCGTTCTTCGCCGCTCTGTATCCCTCGTACAGCTCCGCCTCAATGGCTGCCGCATTCGGTGGACGAATGCGGAGCCTGCGATGCCTGGTGTACAAGTGCCGCGCGGCGACACACGCCTCGCGCAGAGACGTCAGCTCACGCGACCACCAATACACCTGACGCCGGGCGCTTCCTGGCTGGACGCGGGGCATTGCCACGTCACATATCTCGGACATGGCCTCCTGGAACGTTGATTGACGTCGGCAGGCCTGTCCGGTGATGACACCCAGGCCTGCACGATCGAGGCTTCCAGGAGGAGCTCCCGGTCCAGCTGCTTCAGCGCCCAACGCGGACCACTCGGGGCCTGTTGGACTGGCGCGCTCGAGGGCTGGGTGGAGACATCAAACCGGATGTACCGGTGGTCGAAGTAGGTCTCCACCCCCCTCCATGACACGCCAGTCAATGGCACGCGGCGACAGAGCGGGGCTAGCGAACGAGATGTCCACCACCGACTCGCCCCGCATCCGCACACACGTGGGGACAGAACCCCGATTTAGGACGACCAGGCCTGTCTCCAGAGCCCAGTCTTCCACCATCCTACCCCGCACATCTGTACGACGAGAACCCCAAGCCAAGTTCTTGGCATTGAAGTCCCCGAGGACAAGTACGGGGAGGGGATAACTTCCGACGATGACTGCTCAGCTCTGCAAGAGAGTTGTGGAGCTCGGCGAGAGATCGGTTCGGGGAGAAGTACACCCCCACAACGACGAACCCCCCGAACCGTGCTGCTACGCACCCCTGACCCCTCCTGACACCTTCAAGGGTCGGGGTACCGGCGGCGGCCGAAGAGATGATGGCCACTGAGCCGTTAAGGACCGCCACCCAGTCCTCACTAGGCCAGACAAAATACGGCTCAGCGACCACAGCGATGTTAATCGACCACTGCGCCATGCTCTGGAGCAACAGATCC